GGTAGAAGACAGAACCACGATTCATATATGAATAGATTTTTACGTGCACCTCTAGTTTTCTCTGCCTCTTCTCTAAAGCAGCGCAGCATGGCCTCGCCCCCTTTGCTGCCTTTTCCCGAGGGCGGGGTTTATCTGGGTTTGTTACGTCATGAACCCGGGAAGTAACTTTTTGTAGTCCTTACCAGCCGTTTTTGTAGGCATTAAAGGGATAGTTCACCCAAAAATTAAAATTAGATGTTTATCTGCTTACCCCCAGGGCATCCAAGATGTAGGTGACTTTATTTATTCAGTAGAACACAGACGAAGATTTTTAACACAAACCGTTGCAGTCTGTCAGTCATATAATGGACGTGGATGGGAATCACGGCTTTGAGAGTCAAAAAAACATACGCAAACAAAACCAAATGAAACCCTGCGGCTCGTGACGATATATTGATGTGTAAAGACACAAAACGATTCGTCTGTGCAAGAAACTGAACAGTATTTATATCGTTTTTTACCTCTGATTTACGCAGTGTCGTGAATCAAAACTGTCTATGGACTGTTCGAACTGTCCTGAGCATGTCCTCCTGAGCGCGTTCTCAACAGCAGGCGCGTGAGGCTTCTTCTTCTTGCTTTATGGCGGATCGCAGACTTATAAGTGCATTACCGCCACCTGTCTCAAATGGACCATTGACAGTCCTAATTGAGATTGTAGATAGAGTATCAATGGTCCATTTGAGAGATAGGTGGTGGTAATGCACTTATAAGTCTGCGATCTGCCGTAAAGCAAGCAAGAAGAAGACGCGTCACGCACTGGCTGTTGAGAACTAGTGATGGGAAGTTCGGTAAAAATGGCTTAAATCGCCTTTGTCTTTCCCTATTTTTCTTGTTGAATTGGACTCTCTTGTTTCATCTCTTAGACTTACTAATAACAAAAAGAGTGCCAAACTTTTGATGTATTATGGGAAACAAAGTCACCTACATCTTGGATGCCCTGGGGGTAAGCAGATAAACATCACATTCTCATTTTTGGGTGAACTATCCCTTTACCATTAAAAAAAAAAAGTAAAAAAAAGTAGAGAAATTAGATTGTTTTAAGAATTCTTTGAAATATTTACTATTTAAATATATTTACTCAAATATTTATAGCTTTTATTATTATTTTAAAAATATATTATTTTTATATTTTCAGTTTCATTTTTGATTAAAATTTCATTTTGTTATGTGCTTTTCTCATTTCAGTCTTCTTTTTAATATTACATTTAGTTTAATTTCATTTTATGTTAATAATTTCATTTAATTTTATTCTTTTATGTTTATTTTAGTCTTAATTTTAGTTCAGTTTTATTTTATTTATTTCCAGGTAGTAATTTAAGTGCTTCAACTTAAATTTATTTTAGTTACTTGCCAAGTTTTTAATCTAATGTTTTTTTTTTAAGCTTTATTTCAATTAACAAAATTTTTTTTTAATAGTTTCTGTTTTAGTTAATGATAATAACTCTGATATATAATAAATATATTACACAAAAATATCAAATTCAGAAACCAACATTGTCACTTGGATAGATGGATAAAGCATTGAAATAAACAGCAACAAATTTGTTAAATAATAATAATAATTAAAAAAGATATCGTGCACAGATCCACCACAAAAATATACTACAATAAAATAAAATACAATAAAAAATATGCTTCAAATGAGGTAAAATATGCATCATTTTCATGTTAAGAAAGGAAGTTTGTGTACACATAGCTTTACATATGCAAAATCACCAGGTTATATAAGTGGTTGCTCTGATCACATCCTGTTTGACTACAACAATAAAGTGCAAAATCTTCTGACAGAACACTGCAGCACATGCACCGTGCAGTCGATGCAGTATGAAGATGACAAGAACAGAGTATGCTTTATTTTCTCATTCAATTGCTGCAATACACAAAGGAAACCCTGGCGGCCCTGAATTTGTATCTGGAACTGATTGTTAATTTCAGCCTTAAACGCAGGACAAAAATTGGTGCCCTGCACTTGACAAAGGTCCATTTTCTTATTTGTACACTAGATGACAGTGTTTCATACCCCGTATATTGCAGCACATAGAAAATAAAGTCAGCAAAAGCCGATTTTATGACTGAAACAAAAGTAGGCAAGTGAGGGTAAAAAAGCAAAAGGGCTGGGGATCACGGCCCCCTTCAGTCTGAGCAGAGAACTGCAGAAGGCAGGGATCAGGTGGGACATGCTGTTATTACCTTACTGGATCGTTTCCAGCTCCTTCTCATAAGCATGGTCTGTGAATGAGACAAAGCGTTATAAAGCCACCCCTTGTCCTCTCTAACAGGGTGCTAGAGGTGAACCTGACATCCTGTCTGGATACTGTTCAGCAGAGTCGAGGGGTCATAAGGAGGCAGCCCGGGGAAGCTATGGTTGGGGGGCAGCCATTATAAGCTAATAAAATCACTAAATCACACACAAAAAAAGAAAATGTCATTCAAAGCTTTGTTAGTTCACTTCTGTCAGGACCACTATCGTCAAAGATGATTGAAAATTAGCATACAATTTGGATGTAAGTTGGATGTATGTTTGGCGGTATGGTTCTGTTCTGGGCAAGAACTCCCTGCGCATCCATGCAGCCTAGCATGGATGAGAGCAGGGAGAGCAGCGATAACCCCCCAGGGTAAACAGAACAGAACCAACATAAATGTATTGCAGATATCGTTAAAGTTCAATAATGTTATGTACACATTTTAGAATTAGTCTGATTCAAGGAGAATCAGAAAGCTGAATCCTGACTGACAGAGGAGGAGTTGGGGATGGAGGAGGGTAATTAGCTATTGAGCAATGCGAAAATTGCTGATAATACTGAGGGACCTTATATATGAATGCTTAGATAGGTGTCGTATTCCCATAGGTTGATGAGGATCAGCTGAGAGTCAGCTGATGCGAGCTTGACTAACGTGACCTGCCAGAACTAACGCTACGCTAGATTAACACAAAGATACACAGGCACACTCACACATATCTATAGAGGTGTTATAAGTCACTGGATCATACAGTAAGTAAATGTTGTTTATCAAGGGACTTTTTAAAAAAGTCTAGGCCTATATCTTGCATTATATAACACTCCACTATTTCTGCAGTATACTGTAGCATGTTTAAAGTGCACATCATGCAGTATGTATCCCACAATGCAATGTGCTCAACTTGATATTCCATTTCTGGTGTGATAAAGGAACCAAAAAGAATATATTAATATTTTAACATCTCTTTCTCCACTCATTATTTTCTATTATTTAAACTGACAAGACTTAAAACATGTGGGAATGATAAACTTTCTTGAGGAAGCAGCACTGGGTCGATTGTTCAGATAGGTGATTATAGTTTTAGGGGGGCTGAAGACCACCTAAAAAGGGTCTAGAACTGCTCCTGGTGTATAGTATATGCAGTATGCAGTAAGCAGTACTAACTTTCCACTCCATACTTATCATTAGCATTTGTTTGATCAGTACTGAGTGTAATCAGACAGATTAAACATCAATAAATGTTGGCCTTGAATGTTTATTACCCATTTGTTAATCTGACCCAGAGCTGAAGTTACTAATATACTGTAAGGTTTCTTACGATGCAGTTCTGTGTAAACCCCCATTATTTCCCATATAAACTTACAGCGCCCTTGTTACCCTGTTAGCGTTCTAACGTACTGCCCGTGGTACACTTTGTGCATAGTTAAATTTTCCAGGAATGCTTTATACATGCTGAGCAATAATTACTCTTGCATCCTGAGCATTACTGAATGCAAAAATGTGACGTATGACTGCATAACACTTCAAGTAAAGTGAGGGTGAATTTGCTAGGGCACTAGCTGACTAATGGAAAACTGGATTTTCCATTTTCCTCTCATTGAAAATCTGCATGCCAATCCTGAGAATATTCTCTAGACAACAGATTTCTCTCTTATGTATGCAAAAGAAATCCTTTCCAGGTCAGACACTGGTTCATCCAGCCCAGAGAATGCATTTGGACTCTTCTGTTCTGCAGTAAGATGGGTGACATAATATATGAAGCCTACTGTTCAAAAGTTTGGGTCAGAAAAAAAAAAATACTGACCCCAAATAAAAAAATAAATTAAAAAAAGTAATTAGATACAGAGCTCCCACAACTCTTGGACGAATACATTTCCAAGGTTTTAACATGTTGTACTTGTTTGGAATCTGTAAGAGTTGGATACATGTAAATGTTCTTGGTACTTTAGAGCTGAAGTATTTGATTATACAGTATTTGCTAAAAAATAAAAAATAAAAAATGTACAGTTCATTGAGTTTTTATGCATTTGTATGAAACCACAATTGGCAGCACATCTCACACCTCCACTTCATATTCACAGTTCAGACATATCAGCTTGAAAAACAAAGACATAATACAATTTTTTTTTAACTCACTGCTTCCCTGAAGTCTCCCTCTTTTGGAATAAGTGTGACTGCCAGTTCCAGTGAACCCAGGTCATGGTTGGGATAGTGGGGATCTTTGAGGTCAAGGGTCACATCCAAGGTCCTAAAAGGGAGAGAGAACCTACAGCATGAACAACCAAAATCCTGCCATGCTCAATCATTGGGTTCTACATTTCTTACAACAGCATTTGTGTGTTTGTACATATATAAAAACTCTAGGGGGCAGCAGTGTCAAAGCAAATTAATTGATATTACGACACTTGAGATTGTGTTTCAGATTCGTCAATGTGTCACAAAGCATCAGAAGACCTTTGGTGCTCCAGGGATTCTAAATAGAGGTATGCAGAGCCCATAAAGTCATCCTGCAGCCCAAAGTCATAGTCAAAGACCTGTAGAGGAAAGAAAAAACCCAACGGTAAGGCATGTCATTTCACACGACAAACTGTACTGACTGTAAAGCCAGCATACATTAGATCGACTCTTTACAATTCCATTAGTTAAAACACATTCCATTAAATTAAAACACATTAAATAATCACTAATGACCAAGCAGCCATTAAAAGTCAATTTAATGACTGGAACAAAGCACTCTGACTACATTTACAATCATTTACCTTCACGTAGAGTGGCTCTCTCAAACTCTCCACCAGCAGACTGACTTTCTCATCCCATACTGGGTTCAGGTTCTTGTGGATCGTTTTGCTGCGGAAAACCTCCTTCCCTACGATTTTAAACTTCACATATGGGTCACTGGTCCCTGTAAATGCAACAAAAATACACAATACATTTAGCTGTTTTTCAAGAGAAATTGGGTAAATAAAGTTTTTTCTTCTACAAAATTAGACCAGCTTAGTTTATAATAAACAGTGATTTGGATTGGTTACCCTTTAAAAATACTTCAAAAAAGATAAAACTTCACTGAGAAAATGAGTTGGAATTTGCATTCTTCACTCAATTCCAAATTCTACACAGCCCTTCTGTTAACTACTTAAAATCCTACATCATCTAGTTATATAACAGTCTCAGACTGAGATGATGCAAAAAAAAAGAAGGTTATTTTTGAAAAACATATACTGTTGTTTATATGCACATATTCATTATCTAGCCTCTTTCTTTCGCTGTAGGGCTTTTTCTTTCTCATGGAGTAGTTGTCTATGGTGTGTATAAATTGGTCTGAAAGAGTGGAGGCAAAGAGACTTGGGTCATGTGACCTTAACTGTCAGCCCTTATTGGCTCAAGCACTAAAGTGAGAGAGGATGAGTGTGCTGTGTGAAGACAAGGGCAGTCTGAATACAGTGAGTACAACCATAAACAAACAAATACACTAATGAGTAATAATCAACATGACAGAGCCTCATTATATACCCAGACAAAATGACAAGACTCAACAGAGAGAACAACAACAGTATAGAGCATATCATAATACTGAATGTGTGTGAATGTAATATTCCACAATGTTAGATGTGTCTAAGTGACTGGCTCATGAAATTGCCAAAGCCTGACAAATACTGACATGCGAATTAGGTTGCAGTATAATATAGTACAGTTCCTAAAAGCGAGCACTAGATGTCACTGTGTGTTCAGTGGAGAATTTGCACAGAGCCCTGCATGTCACCTGACCTGCTCTATCTGCAGTGGATCAGGTACTATTATAGTACTCTGAGACATGAAGAAACATAGCACAATATATAGCAAAATACCACACTTGCCATGCAGATCTGATAAACTGAGGAAGGTATGTGGTTTAATATAAAAATATGGCATCATTCTTTACAAATAAATGAGAAGCAACATTTATAAGCTTTTTTTTTCATTAATAAATAAGCATTTGCATTGAAAACAAACTGAAATATTGAAAAATGTCAACACTGTATCTTGATCAAATTCATCAAGAAAATATTTAGATCCAAATGATGCTGTAACAATTATAAATAACATTCTGTGCAGAAAATCCAACAAATCAATGGACAATCAAACAGTCTGTTGTGCCAAACCACAGTAAACACAGTATCCGGAATGGAGCCACTCTTGTAAGTGATCCCTTAGATTTCATTATGTTGACAAAGACAAACATCAATGCCAGGGGAAATGTCAATATTTTGACTAAATGAAGTGTTGGTTTTTCCGGAAATCAACTACATAATGTTTAAATTCACCTCATGCTCTGCTCTGCAGAAACCTGAGTGTCCCTGTGCAGAGATGCACGATCTAGTGTCAGCAATAAAAAGAGTAAATGTGACGCTACATTAGTATACGATAGCTTTGTGTGAGAAAAAGACCACATTCAAATTTACATAGCTCACTAATTTCATATATGCATATTCAAATTTGTCACATTATTATTAATGTACCGATGACATTATTAGAATATACTGTATTGTTTACGAACAAGAATGAGATTTGAAGCAGATGAGATTATTATGTCTATAAAGTCACATTTGAATGTTTTATGGTATGTTTTGTCATTTTTGGAAGCCCACGGTCACTATTCACTTTTATATTACAGTAATAATAAGTCAATGGGATCTGAAACTGTTAGGTTACCAACATTCTTCAAAACATTCTTCTTTCACATTCCACAGATGAAAGAAAAGCATAGAGGTTTGGAACAACATGTGAGTAAATGAAAGAATTTTCATTTTTGGGTGAACTGTCCCTTTAAAGCCTTTTGCAGTATAGGTATCTATATCAACACACTCATCTCCAGACTGGAATATATGATATAAGTGAGAAGAGTTTGTGTGTGGGAATGTTAGAAGTGGCAAACGACAGCTCCATGAGCAATCACTTCAGTTACATCAGCTCGCCGAAAGGAAATCCCCATTCAACACCTCTGCAGTGTCTAACTCAGTGCCAATCATAATCTATCAGTCTCTGAGGGAAGCCTCTGTAATATCATTAGATCAGTGCTGAGACATTTAGTACGGTAATCAAACATGCTCCTGTAGATCTGTATCACAGCATGCTGCACGCTCAGCACTGTCACGGTCCACATGCATCCAAAAAAGTAAAAAATTCACACACACACACACACACACACACATGAAAACAAAGCTTCAGTTAAGCAAACCTCTTGATGCAAATCTCCACAGGCTTTAGTTCTAATAACCAATTTACCACTGAAATGCATCCCTTCATTCAGGAGATGCAGCGATACCAAGACGGGATGTTATTTTCCTATTCATCCACCCCTAAAGCCAATCCTAATGTTCGTTCAACCACTGAGTCATTCATCTAAATAATATAATAAACTGCATTCAAATTCAAGAGTCAGTGACTCTAGATAATGGCTCTGGTTAAGCAATCTGTTTGCCTCTGGATGTTGATAGCTTAGCTTGATTCACTTAGCTGTGAATTATGTTGGTGCACCATGAGAGATAGCTGAAAGAAGACAGTTTATTTTCATGTCTTTACTTCAGGATAAAGGAATAAAAACCAAAGAAGACCTGATGTGAATATCAAACACAATGCATCCATATCCACATAAACACATCACAGACTGTAAGAAATACAGCATATCAACTGAAACCGCAAATAAAATTATTTCTGTTTCTGTTTATATCTTTGTTCATTTCAGAATGTCAGTTTCAGAACTTCAGAATGTCTTAGTAGTTTGATTCCTTTCTCTTTTCTGACCTCAGCACTTGTTCTGCACTCCACAATTTTGTGTACAACCTGATGATCATGCTCTCGTGTGATCTGAGATGATCCAAAGAGCATGAAGAACACCTGACCATCTATACAAAGATTCATATGATCAAATCACAAATTATTGTGCAGAATCTTAAATATTTCTTATTCATTTCACATTATAATGCTTCTTTGCTTCAAAATATTGAAACTTTATTTCCAGTTTTAAATTAAAATGAAAAATAAATCAAACCAAGATTTCCAATGTGAGAAATGTAGCATGATGCACAGAATACTGCAGAACAAAAAATAAATAAATAAATAAAGAGAGGGGAGGGGGAATCCTTCTTTGCAGCACTGAACAATATATCTGAAACTGTCTGCAGTGGAAAAAAGCTTTGGGGGAAAATGCTGACATATAAACTGAGGGTCTGATGAATGCCACATCTCTGCCCTTGACAGCCATCTGCAGCACAGCCTTCAGCATTATAAGAAATGAAAGACGTTTATCATTAATCTGACTAAAACCGGTAAAAATATGTAGTCAGAAATGATTCATCAGCCACAATGAAAAGATGGACAGAATAGGGGACTTTCCCATAGTACATTCACCATCGCATTAATCAGATTGCCCTCCACAACACTTGAGTGAGCAGGAAGTAGAGGTGCTCAGAGAGATCTGTTCACAGAAGGATCAATAGATGGTTTGATTGAATGAGGTACTGCATATGACTGCAGGGTCATAGTGTGCCGACCGGTGAGCGATTCCTCCTCTGCAATATGTGCATTAGACACCTGCACATTTGCTCTCCAACTGCATTTTTATGGACCTATAAAACTTGTGCCACTGCCAATCTAAAAGGCTTGACAGTTTGAAATTGAAGACTACTTTCTTGGCCAGAAACCAAGGAACAGTGGAACAGTGGATAATTTTATTGTTTGTTTGCTAATGAGAATGACCTGAGTTCAAACCAGCTAATGTAATTTCTTGACCCCAACCCTGCTTGAAAATACAGCTTAAATCACAATAAGTGTTTAAGCCTTTGTTGGTTTAAGCTGTTTTTCCCCATTAGGATTCTCCCTGTTGTTTCCTCTATTTTCTTTTTTTGTTTCTTTTTAATAAAAATAGAACAACCCAAATAAATTTTATTTTTAAAATGCATTTCTCATAAAATATGTTTTTAGTGGCTTAATTCAGTGTTTTGTGTAGAGATTTGGTTCAACTAAGTTATATTATCATAAGTGTATAAACAAGCTATTACATAACTATGTAAATTAATTATTAGTGATGAGTCATTAAGTGTTCTATGATTGACAGATTCATACTGAGATTTTTTTTTGTCACAGCGCGCACAGAGAGTAAAGCAGATTACTAAAATGTACCGTAACTCAAAGAATTCAAAGACCATGAGAATTAAATGTTCTTATCGTTGTTGTCACTGTATACCTCTACAAAATACATAAAGTGTTTCTAGTCGTGATTGAGACTGCTGTTTACTGTCTGAATATCATTGGGCCACTTAAACATTAAAATCAGCTGAATTTGCTCCTAGCAAACAAAGAAACCGACGCAGAGAAAACAAATTAATTACATTATTGTGTTTGTCATGTAAAGTGCTGAATATAGAAAATGTGGCTTGAATATATAAACGTATGTGTGTATGTGTGTGTTGTATTTCAATATCATTATTTGTATTTAAAGGGATAGTTCACCCAAAAATGAAAATTCTGCCATTAATTACTTACCCTCATTGTCGTTCCAAACCCGTAAGACCGTCGTTCATCTTCAACACAAATTCAGATATTTTTGATGAAACCCGAGAGCTTTCTGACCCCGCATAGACAGCAACATGACTACCACGTTCAAGGCCCAGAAATGTAGCAAGGACATCGTTAAAATGGTCCATGTGACATCAGTGGTTCAACCGTAATGTTATGAAGCTATGAGAATATTTTTTTGTGCAAAGAAAACAAAAATATAAACTTTATTCAACAATTTTTTTCTCTTCCGCATCAGTCTTCAACACGCATACCATGGCACATGCGCGTGCATTCCTCTGCTTGTAATTGTTGAATAAAGTCGTTATTTTTGTCTTTATTATTTATTATTATGTCATACGAATTCAG